ACTTTTCTACCCAAATTTATCTACTTATTTATTTATTTATTTAGAGACAGAGTCTTGCTCTGTCCCCCAGGCTGGAGTACAGTGCCATGATCTCGACACCCTGCAACCTCTGCCTCCCAAGTTCAAGCGAGTCTCCTGCCTCAGCCTCCCAAGTAGCTGGGACTAGAGGCATGCACCACCATGCCCAAATAATTTTTGTATTTTCAGTAGAGACAGGTTTTCACCATGTTGGCCAGGCTGGTCTTGAACTCCTGACCTCAGGTGATCCACGCACCTCAGCCTCCCAAAGTACTGGAATTACAGGCGAGGGCCACCGCGCCCAGCCTCCACCAAGTTTTAGAGCAGGGAAAAAGTAATTTAAGAAGCTTGAGAGCGGATGAGTGGTCACCACCCAGGCACCAGGGGTGTGGCTGGGAGGGGTGAGGAAATCTCACAATTAGACTGTACCTTGATCATGGTGGCCACACAATGGATGTCTTTGTCTAAATTCACAGAAATGTACACTTTAAAAAAATTTTTTTTTTTTTTTTTTTTTTGAGACGGAGTCTAGCTCTGTCGCCCAAGCTGGAGTGCAGTGGCCGGATCTCAGCTCACTGCAAGCTCCGCCTCCTGGGTTTATGCCATTCTCCTGCCTCAGCCTCCCCGGTAGCTGGGACTACAGGCGCCCGCCACCTCGCCCGGCTAGTTTTTTGTATTTTTTAGTAGAGACGGGGTTTCACCGGGTTAGCCAGGATGGTCTCGATCTCCTGACCTCGTGATCCGCCCGTCTCGGCCTCCCAAAGTGCTGGGATTACAGGCTTGAGCCACCGCGCCCGGCCAAAAATTTTTGTATTTATTTTTTTGAGATGGAGTCTCGCTCTGTTGCCCAGGCTGGAGTGCAGTGGCACCATCTCGGGTCACTGCAACCTCTGCCTCCCAGGTTCAAGCGATCCTCCTGCCTCAGTCCTGTAGTAGCTGGGATTACAGGTGTGCGCCACCACGCCCAGCTAATTTTTGTATTTTTAGTAGACACAGGGTTTCACTATGTTGGCCAGGCTGGTCTCAAACTCCTGACCTCAGGTGATCCACTTGCCTCAGCCTTCCAAAGGGCTGGGATTACAGGCGTAAGCCACCCTTTTAAAACTGTACAATTTAAAAGGAAGAATTATTTTACTGTGTGTAAATGACATATTAATGAAGTTGAAATTAAAAACACCAAGGTTGACGGGCGCCTGTAGTTCCAGCTACTTGGGACACTGAGGCAGGAGAATGGCGTGAACCCAGGAGGCAGAGCTTGCAGTGAGCCGAGACTGTGCCACTGAACTCCAGCCTGGGCAACAGAGCGAGACTCTGTCTCAAAAAAACAACAAAAACAAAAACAAAAAACCAAAAACCACCACCAAGGCTAGGTGAGGTGGCTCACGCCTGTGTTCCTAGCACTCTGGGAGGCTGAGGCAGGAGGACTGCTTGAGTCTAGGAGTTCCTACTGTGTGTAGCCACTGTGCCAACCCTTCCTTGAGTTCCCAATTGGGAAACTTCCCAGTGAGGAATTTGATGCCCCCAAAGGTTGAGTGACCCTGTCCCTACAAAAAAATTTTAAAAATTAGCCAGGAATGGTGGTGCGTGCCTGCAGTCCCAGCTCCTTTGGAGGCTGAGTCAGGAGGATTGCTTGAGCCTTGAAAGTCGAGGCTTCAGTGAGCTGGGATCATGCCACTGCACTCCAGCCTGGGTGTGATAGAGCAAGATGTTGTCTTTGAAAAATATATAAAAAGTGGCTGGCTGCAGTGGCTCACAACTGTAATCCCTGCACTTTGGGAGGCTGAGGTGGGTGGATCACCTGAGGTCAGGAGTTCAAGACCAGCCTGACCAACATGGTGAAACCCTGTTTCTACTAAAAATATAAAAATTAGCCAGGCATGGTGCACACAAATGTAATCCCAACTACTCGGGAGGATGAGACAGGAGAATCGCTTGAACCCGGGAAGTGGAGGTTGCAGTGAGCCAAGATTGTGCCCCTGCTGGGTGATACAGCAAGACTCTCTCAAAAAAAAAAAAAAAAGGCCAGTGCAGTGGCTCACGTCTGTAATCCCAGCACTTTGGGAGGCCAAGGCGGGTGGATCACGGGTCAAGAGATGGAGACCATCCTGGCTAACATGGTGAAACCCCATCTCTACTAAAAATACAAAAAATTAGCCAGGTGCGGTGGTGGGTGCCTATATTCCCAGCTACTGAGGAGGCTGAGGCAGGAGAATGGCGTGAACCCGGGAGGTGGAGCTTGCAGTGCGCAGAGATAGCATCGCTGCACTCCAGCCTGGGCGACAGAGCAAGGCTCCATCTCAAAAAAAAAAAAAAAAAGAGAGAGAGATACACACACACAAACACACACACACACATACACACACATAAGTATAAAGTAATAAATGAAAGCAAACCAAATGTAATTTCCAGAGGCTAAGACCCTAAGGAGAGGAATCACATTCACTTGGGTCCACCATCTACCTGATGTGCGTGCGACCTTGAACCAAGTCACTCAACTTTCGTTGCCATCAAATTCCTCATTGGGAAACCATGCATAGAGGATCTCCTTCAGAAGGTTGTATGGGGGATTGAAGGAATGGTTAGCGCAGTGGCTCCACACAGAAGGAACTCAGAGAATGTTGCTGGAACTCACGTTCCTAAGCCATGAACACGGTACAGTGGGTGGAGGGTGCTACCATTTATGCAAGGAGGGGAAGAAACTACCCGTGCATATGTGCAGAGGTCCACAGGGGATTTTCTGAAAGATACACATGAAATGAAGACCAGGGAAACAGCAGTATTCTGCCAGTAAAGAGGATAGATGTATGTGTACATATATGTGCATATACATATACACGCGTTTATTTATAAATGACAAACATACAAAAAAAAGTATAAATCTCCATTTGTTTTTTTTTTTTTTTTTTTTTGGAGACGGAGTCTCGCTCTGTCGCCCAGGCTGGAGTGCAGTGGCGGGATCTCAGCTCACTGCAAGCTCCGCCTCCCGGGTTCCCGCCATTCTCCTGCCTCAGCCTCCCGAGTAGCTGGGACTACAGGCGCCCGCCACCGCGCCCGGCTAGTTTTTTGTATTTTTTAGTAGAGACGGGGTTTCACCGTGTTAGCCAGGATGGTCTCGATCTCCAGACCTCGTGATCCGCCCGTCTCGGCCTCCCAAAGTGCTGGGATTACAGGCTTGAGCCACCGCGCCCGGCCCCTCCGTTTGTCATATATTTAAATTTTCTGTAGTGATCGGGCTGTTGCTATATTATCAAGGCTGGTCTCATACACCTGGCCTCAAGCGAGGCTCTGACATCAGCCTTCCAAAATGCTGGGATTACAGGCCTGAGGCATCGCGCCCAGCTCCAAATCTCCATTTTCGGCAAACCATTTGAGAATAAGTCGCAAACATGCGGCACCTCCAAATATCTAACTATGTTTTCCACAAACAGGGACAGGTTCCCACATGTACACTGTCGGGCACGGTGAAAATCGGTACATTAACACGGCTGGATCGCTACCATGTAATCCGAAGACCCAACTACATTCACCACTTGTGCCAATAATATGTTCATTTCAGTGTATGTTTTGAAATATGTACCACACGCATATGTTATCTTTACGAAAAAAAAAATAGTATTTTGAAACCACTCGTCACAGCCAAATGAAATAAGAGTGAACTCATTCATGCAGGAGCCCCAGAGGACTAGGAGAACCCGGCCTCTCCCAGGCCTCCTCACCTGAGCGGGGCTCCCTCCTGACCGCCGCCCACCCACTCCAGGGCCGAACGCGGGAAGGGACCGCCCAGCCCGAGGGTCGCAGGGGCAGAAAACCCCGGGTCCTGAACGCACCTGGGCCCTGCAGCGAACCTGGCGTCCCCACCCGACTCCAGAATCAGATTCAGGCCAGGCCAGGAACCACACCAGCTTCCTGCGTCCGCCTCGGTCCAGGCTGCAATGCCGGCGGCGACCGCCAAGGAGTCGGAGGCTCAAAGGCGGGGAACGAGGCCCAAGTCCCGGCGCGCTCATCAAGGCGTGGCTCCGGATAAAGGTTCCGGAACAGCCGGCCCCGAGCACCCACGTGCAGCTTCTGATTGCAGCCCTGGGCTGGCTTCACTGTCCGCACCTGAGACCCGCGGCCGCTGCAGGGTGCTTCGCCGAGGGTGCGGGCTCGGGGCGCACAGTGCGCCCAGCCTCTCCCCCTCCTCGCCATTAAGGGGAGCCCCAGCGACGCCCTGAACCCTGAAAGCCAAACTGGGCCCAGGGCTGCACTTGGCATCTGCTTCCCCGTCTGTCACAGTAACCAGGGCTAGGGCCGGGGTCGGGACCTAGAGGAGAGTGGAGGGCGCGCGGGAATGGGGCTCGCTGCGCCACGGAAACCCCGCGCTACCCTTCGAGACCTCCCCGCTGCTCCGCAGAGCCGGGGCCGCTGCCTTCGCGTCTGTCCTGAGGGTGCGCAGGCGGGTACTTGTCCCGACTGGGGAACAGCGGGAGCCGTGAGACGCAGGTCGGGCTTCCCAGCCCCACCTAGGACGTCTCTGCGGGCGGGAGGCCAGGAGAAAAGAGGGTGAGAGAGATGAGCTGCAGGGGGATACGGGACCCAGGGACATTATAACACGCTTTCCACGCGTAGGATTGGGGCCCACGAATGACCAGAAAGGTGGGACTCACTCGCCCCCTTTGCAGATGGACCCATGTTGGCGCCCCTTAGATCTGCAGTGGGGGCACCAGGACTGCGGTGAGCCTCTCCGCGCCCCAAACGCCAGCAGATCCGCCCGACCACATTTCGGCCTGGCTTGCTTTGCACAAATGCTGCGTCAGCACACGCCCCAGATCCACTCCTTCCCAGATCGCGACCCTCATGCCTTCGCAGAAAGTGTCCTAAGCACAGTCAGGTTCAAAGCCCGCCCCAGGCTCGGATTCGCTGTGTAACTCCGAGTCACTGTTCACACTTCTCTGGGCCTCAGTTTGCTCATCTCAGTGAATGGGACACAGACACAGTCGCGCTGCGGGCTAACGCTTTATTTGCCACCCAAGGCCCCGGGCCCGCCTGGGCTTCTGCTCAGAAGATCTTCACGGAGTCCAGCTGCACGTCCCCACCCACCTCCACCAGGCGGACGCGCGCCAGCGGCAGGCGGTGGCGGAAGTGGTGGTACTGGGCGTCCCCAACCACGGCCTGCAGGGGAGGGTCGGTGGTGAGGATTCCGGAGGCCCATGCTGGGTGGCCCTGGGGAAATCACTCATCCCTTCTGGGCCTCAGTTTCCCCACTGGGAAAATGGGCCTATTGTTCATTCTAACTCTTGCGTGAGGATCAAACGAGTTTACTGGGTGGCGCAGTAAAAAACGGCTTTTTTAGTCTTGGTAATGGATATTCTTATTTCCGAGAGCATTACCCGCTATTAAAGCGCAGAGGAGGGAGGTGAATTCGCGTAAGGTCTGGGTGGCGAAGGATCTGCCGCCACCTCCACCCCCCAACCCTTGAGCTAGGACGAGTTCCTGGGCCCTGTCTCCAGCCCATTCTTCCCCATGCCTCAAACCCTGGACCTCAGGAAGGAATGAACTGGGAGTAGGGTCTGGAATGGCGAGTCAGGACCACGCCTTCCCGCTAGGACGCCCACCCCTTGGACACTGGGCTGGTGCTCGCCTCCTCCTGACCCTGCTGTCTCTCTGACCCAAGTGAGAGTTGTTTAGGCGAGAGAGAGGGTCGAACGACACCCTTCTCTGCCTTGGCCACGCCTTCCCTACCCCCCTCACCCCGCCCCAACCTCCCTGCCTTCCACCAATAGCCTGGCTTTGCCCAACCCTCTGCTCCAGGGACCTAGGTCTTGGCGTCCACGCCCCTGTCTCAGAGACGCACCTTGAAGCCGTCGTCCGACGCGATGATGAGCACCTCGAAGGGCTGCCCGCGCTGGAAAGGAACGCCAGGCCCGCGCTCCTCGCGGCCCCAGGAGCCTTGCTCCTTGCTGTTGAAGACCACCTCCGACGTGTCCAGCCGGGGGTTGAAATGCAGGGCGGCATCGGAGTCCTGCTCCTCCCCGCACAGCAGGTTTACGTGGAACCTGGAAGTGGAGGATGGTGGCCGTCAGGGCTCAGAAACCACCCAGACCAAGAAATGTTGAGGGTGAGGAATACTGATGTCTACAATTCACTTTGAATAAATAAGTAAATGAAATGTTGGCTGGGTGCAGTGGCTCATCCTGTAATCCCAGCAATCTGGGAGGTGGAGAAGGGAGGATCACTTGGGCCCAGAAGTTAAAGACCAGCCTGGGCAACATAGCAAGACCTCATCTTACCAAAAAAAAAACCCACGAACGAACAACCAAAAACTAAACCACCTAGACCAAAGTCCTTCGAAGGGCTTATGGGCTGGGACTCCCCATTCCTAAGCATCCCCAAATTAACAGGGACCTGAAGACAGGCACACATAGCAGGAGAGGTGGCTGACTAATGACCAGGGAGCTTAGATTCCCAAGGCAGCCAAAATGTCATGAGGCCCTTGGCAGAAACCTGCCCAGACCAAAGTCACTATGCTTAGGGCAGGGTGCCCTCATTTCCAAAGAGCCTGGGAGCTGCCCAGGAGGTCTGGGTGATGGCCAGGGTGCTCCTGATGCCCAGGGAACCCTCAGGTTCTACAGGACAAAGAGAATACCAGGAAGCCCAGTATTTCCAGGGTACCCCAGAATCCAGAAGGCCCAGAGTTCCTTAGCCAGGAAGTCGAAGGATGGCTTGGCAAAGACTCCCAGGGTCCAGGTGTCTACAGGACTTGGAGTATTCCCAGAGTTCCGTGGGACTCAGACATGGAAGTCATAGGACTATATCTAGGAACCATGAGATTACCCAGGAACCTCAAATTCTTAGGGAAACTTAGGGACCCCAGCCACAAAGGCATGGGGCAAATAAGTGAATATATCAGATTTGAGGTCAGAAATGGCCTCGGACTCGTAGCCTGGTGGATACAGATGGCCTAGGGCCCCTATTTCTGGATTGCAAAAATTGGGGGTCGGCTGAGCCCCCAAATTTTCTCCAAAAATTGGAGACCTGTACCCTTTACCCCTAGGGCCTGGGGTCTCACCTGCCGGCATTGGGAGGAACCAAGCCACGAATTCTCAGCACCGTGCCAGGGCGGATGCCCTCGGGCAGCAAGGACTTGTGGGGGACGTTCTGCAAGAGTGGAGTGCAGGGGCCACTGTGAGCCAGTGAGACTGAGGAGGGAGGCAGAAGGTGGGTCACCCCTCAGAGGAGCCGACCAGGACTGAGACTGGCAGAAATCAGTGGAAGAGAAAAGGGTGGCAGAGAGGCAGGAAAGAGACCAGAGACAGAGAAACAGATGGGGAGAGCGACAAAGAAAAACAGAAAAATCCTCAAAGAGAGACCCAGAGGAAGCCACAAAGAGGTAGAGGGGACAATCAGGAAGGGCGGTCACCCAGAGGCCACAGCCCAGGCCCATCCATGGCGCACCCACTGCCCACTTGCTCCTTTGAAAGAGGAGCCCCCAGCCCCCTCCCTACTCGGCCCCGCCCTGGGCCCCTGGAGCACTCACGGACATGGCTGGGACAGGGTCAGGCAGCCGTGGTGCTGGGGACTGCTGGGGACCTTAAATAAAAGCAGGGCGGGGCTGGCCCTGATGACTCACCCCATCCCTTCCCACCCACCACCCACACCTGGCACAGACCCTGGCCCTGGGGCAAGCCTGGCAAAGCGGGAGTGACACTTCTTCTTGGGGGCCCTGATCCCCTCCATCAACCAGGGCCCAGATGCACTGCCCCTCCTAGGAGCTGATAATAAGAGGGACCGTTTAACAATAATAAACTCACAGCAGAGAAGGCTCCTCGTGCCACCGCCCCTCCAGCCCTGCCTTCCCACTGCCTGGCACACAGGAGAGTGTCTCATGCTTATTTTATACACAGACATGTTGGGTCCTGAGAAGCCAAGCCCAGCGGGAACTCTAGACCCTTCTCTCCAGCTAAGAACCTCCTGCCTGGACTGGAAATGTCTGCGCTGAAATCCCTGCTTCTATGTCTCTAAAGCAACAGCGGCCACAACCACAGCGATAGTGCCAGACAGGGCAACTTCACGGGGTCGAGGGGCGGCCTGGGCGGCTCACTGCTGCATCCCCGGGTCCTAGAGTGTGCCTGGTTCATGGGAAGTCCTCAGTCAGGAGGGGTGAAAGGAGGGGATCTACTAGGACTATGCTTGTCATTTTCTAGGTCCCTGGGCTGCCCAGGATATGCAGGAAATCACTGATTGGGACCCCATCATTCCAACAGGAGGCAGCATGGGTCGCCCCCATTATACAGAGGAGGAGGCTGAGGCTGGGATGGGGAAGTGATTTTCCACAAGCCGCGCAGGACCCGCTGCCCCGACCTCTGCCCCTCCTCACCTCTGCTTGTGCCTCTCCTGTGGGTTCTGTCTCTGGGGCTGGCTGTCTCACTCTGTCGGTCTCTGCCTGTAACTGTGTCTACCGCGTATTCCTGTCCCACTTCTCTCCTTCAAGTCTCTCTTGTGCCTCCTTCCAAGACTGTTACCATCTTCCCATCAATTTTGCAGGTCAAGATGAGGCAGTTTTAGGGTAGTGGGTAGCCTGGCACCCCATCACTACCCAGACCCGAAACAGAGCAAAGTGAGGACTCTCCCAGCAGCCCCAATATAGCCTACAATATACTCTACAAGAGAATCCAGGGTTGGGGAAGTAGACTGGGGGAGGCGTGGATGGGGGTGGGGGGACCAGATTGAAATCTGTTTCCAAAAGGCAGGGATGGTGTGGGAGCTGAACAGAAACCACTCCTGCCTGGGCGTGGTGGCTCACGCCTATAATCCTAGCACTTTGGGAGGCCAAAATAGGTGGATTACTTGAGGTCAGGAGTTCAAGACCAGCTGGGCTAACATGGTGAAACCCCTTCTCTACAAAAAAAAATACAAAAAATTGGCTGGGCATGTAGATGGACACCTGTAATCCCAGCTACCCGGGAAGCTGAGGCAGGAGAATTGCTCTAGCTAGGGAGGCAGAGGTTGCAGTGAGCCGAGACCACACCACTGCACTCCAGCCTGGGCAACAGAGCTAGACTTTGTCTCAAAAAATAAAAATAAACCACCCCTAGCAATGCAGCAGCCCTCCTGGACCTTTTCCACCTCCCACCCCGGCCCCTGCCCCAGCCAGCAGGCTGCTGAGAGGCCTGGGCAGAGGCAGGCTGGCAGTGGAAAGTTTGGGTGGAGACACCAGACCCAGAACCATCCTCCACCCTCTGTGTCCCAGGCTCCCAGCCTCTTGCCCCTCCCTACACACTCCAAGGCACCAAGCTGGAGGACCAGTTCCTAGGGACATGAACTCAGAGAGGGAGGCTGGCAGCTGCATTTCAGTGGGGTCTGCAAGCACCCCCATTCTGCAGAGGACAAAACTAAGGCTGGGCTGGGCACAGTGGCTTACGCCTGTAATCCCAGCACTTTGGGAGGCCGAGGTGGGCGGATCACGAGGTCAGGAGATCGAGACCATCCTGGGTTAACACGGTGAAACCCCATCTCTACTAAAAATACAAAAAATTAGCCGGGCGTGGTGGCGGGCGCCTGTAGTCCCAGCTACTCGGGAGGCTGAGGCAGGAGAATGGCGTGAACCCGGGAGGCGGAGCTTGCAGTGAGCTGAGATCACGTCACTGCACTCCAGCCTGGGCGACAGAGCAAGACTCTGTCTCAAAAAAAAAAAAACTAAGGCTTAGACAGTGACAGCTTCTCAGCCAAGGAAGCGGCCAGGCCCTGGGCTCCAGAGGGGTCTCTGTGCCAAGGACACATCATGGGCACAGACAGAGAGGACAACAGGGTGTCCGGTGATCACATCACCAGCCCAGCTCAGTTAGTTCCTGAGAACGTTCCCCTGAATGGCAGACTCCATCATTCTAACGTTATCCATTACTCTAAAGAAGACGCTCCTCACGTTACTGATGCCTCGTCTGTGTACCATGCTTCCCAGGAACTCAGCTTTTCAGTGATTGCTTCACTGTGGCTGGATGTAACTTCACATGTAGCCAACGTGCTACAAGTCCCAACGTGCCTTTGCTGATTGGCCAAGTGTTTGCATTCACTCTGTTGTCAGCCTGAAGTCCTGACTCCTTTCTGGTAACAGATCTGCATCCTTGATTGCATCCTTGATGGGTTTTTTTTTTCTTCTTTCTTTCTTTCTTTTTTTCTTTTTTGAGACAGAGTCTTGCTCTGTCACCAGGCTGGAGTGCAATGGCACGATCTCGACTCACGGCAACCTCTGCTTCCCAGGTTCAAGTGATTCTCCTGCCTCAGCCTCCCGAGTAGCTGAGGATTACAAGCACGTGCCACCACTCATGGCTGATTTTTGTGTTTTTAGTAGAGACGGGGTTTCACCGTGTTGGCCAGGCTGGTCTTGAACTCTTGACCTCAAGTGATCCACCCACCTCAGCCTCCCAAATTGCTGGGATTACAGGCATGAGCCACTGCACCCAGCCCTTGATGAGTTCTTATTCAATTGTGTTGTCTTTCTCGTTACTTTTGCAGTACTTTTTTTTTTTTTTTTTAGACAGGGTCTTGCTCTGTCTGTCTGTGATCACGGCTCACTGCAGCCTTGGTCTCCTAGGTTTGGGCATCCTCCTGCCTCTGGAGTAGCTTGGACTCCAGGTGCACACCACCACACCGAGCTTGTTTTTCTTTTTCTCTAGAGAGGAAGTCTCACTACATTGCCCAAACTGGTCTCAAACTCCTGGGCTCAAGCGATCCTCGATCCTCCCACCTTAGTCTCCTAAAATGTTGAGATTACAGGCCTGGCCATGGTAATATTTGTGTGCGTCTTTTTTCAGTTTTAAATAACTAATGTATTTATTTCCCAGTTGTTATTTCATTGAGGTATTTTTCCCATTAAATAAAAGGTTCAGATTTTGTTGTTGTTGTTGTTGTTTAGAGACAGGATCTTACTCTGTCACCCAGGCTGGAGTGCAGTGGTACGATCTCAACTTATGGCAGCCTCTGCCTCCCAGATTCAAGTGATCCTCCCACCTCATCCTCCTGAGTAGCTGGGACTTCAGGAGTGTGCCACCACACCTGCCTAATTTTTTGTATCATTTTGTACAGATGAGGTTTCGCCATGTTGCCCAGGCTGTTCTCAAATTCCTGGACTCACGTGATCCACCTGCCTTGGCCTCCCAAAGTGCTGGGATTACAGGTGTGAGCCCCTGCTCAGGGTTCAGGTTTTAATGGAATAGTTCAATGAGTTTTGACACATATAGTCACCTGTGTCACCACCTCCCTGATCAAGTTTCCTGGTGCCCCTGGAAACACTCATTGCTCCTTCTGCCACTGGAAGCCACTGTCACTCCTGAGCAGTTAGTAGCCACAAAGTTTCCTCTGATCCATTGTGGTGGCATGTGCCTGTAGTCCCAGCTACTCGGGAGGCTAAGGCAGCAGGATCACCTGAGCCCTGGAGGTCAAGGTTGCAGTGAGCCGAGATCATACCACTGCACTCCAGCCTGGGCAGCAGAGTGAGACCCTGTTTAAGAGTCAGGCCGGGCGCAGTGGCTCACACTTGTAATCCCAGAACTTTGGGAGGCCAAAGCAGGCGGATCATCTGAGGTCAGGAGTTTGAGACCAGCCTGGCCGATGCGACAGCCTGGAGCGTGCCTGTCATCCCAGCTACTCAGGAGACTGAGGCAAGAGAATCACTTGAACCTGGGAGGCAGAGGCTATAGTGAGCTAAGATTGCCCCTCTGGACTCGAGCCTGGGCGACAGAGCAAGACTCAGTCTCAAAAAAAAAAAAAAAAAAATTCATTTGCTGTGAAAATGAGAAAGTGGGTGGGGACAGACTGATTTTTCTGACTTTAAGCCTCTTTCAGGATATAATTTAGGTGAAAAGTAACTAATTGCACACTAAGTGTTTGTAGGATTTTAAACCCCGGGTTTTGTCAATGCCATTTTGTTGGTGATATCTTGGGTTATTGTGGTTTTTTTTTTTTTTTTCTTTTTTTTGAGATGGAGTCTCACTCTGTCGCCTGGGCTGGAGTGCAGTGGCCGGATCTCAGCTCACTGCAAGCTCCGCCTCCCGGGTTCACGCCATTCTCCTGCCTCAGCCTCCTGTGTAGCTGGGACTACAGGCTATTATGGTTTTTGTTGTTGTTTTTTTTTGTTTGAGATTTTTTAGTGATTGCTTCACTGTGGCTGGATGTAACTTCACATGTAGCCAACATGCTGCAAGTCCCAACGTGCCTTTGCTGATTGGCCAAGGGTTTGCACATTAACTTTGTTATCAACCTGAAGTCCTCACTCCTTTCTGGTAACACATACGCATCCTTGATGGGTTCTTTTTTTTTTTCTTTTTTGAAACTGAGTCTCGCTCTGTCACCCAGGCTGGAGTGCAGTGATGCGATCCCAGCTCACTTGCAACCTCTGCCTCCCGGGTTCACGCCGTTCTGCCTTGGTCTACCTAGTAGCTGGAATTACAAGCATGCACCACCATGCCTGGCTAATTTTTG